AAAGCCGTCTCGGAGGCCATCTTGGGGGCCTCTTGGGGCCGTCTTGGGGCCCTCTTGGGCCGTTCTGGGGCCATCTTGGAAGCCTCTTGGGCGGTCTTTGGGCGATCTTTGGGGCCTCTTGGGCCGTCTCGGGCTGTCGGAAGGCCGAAAAGAAGGAAACGTCAAATCCGTCAAATACCATAGGACAATCAATGTTTTTGGCCTCTTCTGGCTTTCCTGGGGGCCTTCTTGGGAGCCTCTTGGGCCGTCTTGGGCCAGCTTTGAGCCAACTTCGGCCATCTTGGTGGGTTCCTGGCACGTCTGACGCCGTCGGGAGCCGTCTTGGGGGCCTTTCTGGGCCGACTTGGGGCCCTCTTGGGGCGCTTCGAGGCCGTCTTGGAGGCCATCTTGGGCGTCTTGGAGGCCATCTTGGGCGTGTTGGAAGCCTCTTGGGACGTCTTGGGGCCCTCTTGGGGCCCTCTTGGAGGCCACTTGGGCCGTCACGGGGCCCTCTAGGGGGCCTCTTGGGCGATCTTGGGGGCCTCTTGGGCCGTCTTGAGCCGTCGGAATGCCGAGAAGAAGCAAATCCCCAAATCTTTCAAAAACCTTAGGACAATCGATGATTTTGGCCTCTCGGGCCTTCCTGGAGGACCTCTTTGGGGCCTCTTGGGCCGTCTTGGAGGCCTCTGGGGGGCCTCTTGGGCCGTCTTGGGCCGTCTTGGACTCTTTTGGGCCGTCTTGGAGGCCGTCTTGGACCATCTTGGGCGGACTTGGAGGCCATCTTGGAGGCCATCTTGGGCCATCTTGGCGATCTTCGACGCCATCTTGAGCCGTCTTGGAAGATTTTTTCTGGACTTTGCGGTCCTGGAAGAGCCTACCGGGACCCCGGCGGGACGGGCCGAAGCGCCAGGGGGAGTTCTTTTGGAAAAAGAACCAACACCAAAAGCGAGAGGGTCTCGCGATGTTTTGAGGATGTCCCGAGCGAAACAGCTGTTTCAGGGAGGATTTGTCGTGGAGTTTGTGCACGTGGGCAATCTTCCCGGTACCCCGGCGGGACGGACCGAAACTCACTGAGAGAGTTCTTTTGGAAAAAAAACCAAAACCAAAACCGAGAGGGTCCAGCAGGCCAGGCACCCCTGCGATGAATCGACAGGGGGCGGCGGATCGAAGACGCCTACGGCGAACCACCGCCGCCCCCTGCCTTTTTGGAAGCGCCTATGTGGCCGAACGTTGAGGCCAGACCTGCCAAGCCATCGGACCATGTGTTTCCCGAATCGGTTTGGAAAGCCTTCGGGGAGCACGTGGGCATCTTGAAGGTCATCTTGGCCGTCTTGGAGGCCTCTTGGGCGATCTTTCGGCGATCTTTGGGGGCTCTCGGGCCGCCTCGGGCCGTCGGAAGGCCGAAAATAAGGAAATGTCAAATCCGTCAAAAACCTATAGAAAATCAATGTTTTTGGCCTCTTCTGGCCTTCCTGGAGGCCCTCTTGGGGGCCTCTTGGGCCGTTTTGGGCCAGCTTTGAGCCAACTTCGGCCATCTTGGTTGGTTCCTGGCACGTCTGACGCCGTCGGGAGCCGTCTTGGGGGCCTTTCTGGGCCGACTTGGGGCCCTCTTGGGGCGCTTCGGGGCCGTCTTGGAGGCCATCTTGGGCGTCTTGGAGGCCATCTTGTGCGTCTTGGAGGCCTCTTGGGCCGTCTTGGGGCCCTCTTAGGGCCGTCTTGGAGGCCACTTGGGCCGTCATGGGGCCCTCTTGGGGGCCTCTTGGGCGATCTTGGGGGCCTCTGGGGCCGTCTTGAGCCGTCGGAATGCCGAGAAGAAGCAAATGCCAAAATCCTTCAAAAACCTTAGGAAAATCAATGATTTTGGCCTCGGCCCTCCTGGAGGACCTCTTGGAGGCCTCTTGGGCCGTCTGGGAGGCCTCTGGGGGGCCTCTTGGGCCGTCTTGGGCCTTCTTCGACTCTCTTGGGCCGTCTTGGAGGCCGTCTTGGACCATCTTGGGCGGACTTGGAGGCCATCTTGGGCCATCTTGGCGATTTTTACCTAACAGCGAAGACTGATAGGTTTCTAGTGGTCTAAAAAGAGCTCACAGATCACTCCACAGGGGGGTCCGGGCAGGTGTTGGGAGTTGCCGGGCGGCAGGGTGCCCCGCTCGTTTTTCACCAACAGTCACACACTTCGTGCTCTTCGAGTCCATTCCCAGGCTCATTCTGAATAACCGGATGCAACAATCACACACTTCGTGCTCTTCGAGATCCCAGAACGCCATTCCCGGGCCACATTTAGAATAACCGGATGCAACAGTCACACACTTCGTGCTCTTCGAGTTCCCAGAACTCCATTCCCGGGCCACATTCTGAATAACCGGATGCAACAGTCACACACTTCGTGCTCTTCGAGTCCCAGAACGCCATTCCCGGGCCACATTTTGAACCCGGAGCAACAGTCACCACTTCGTGCTCTTCGAGTTCCCAGAACTCCATTCCCGGGCCACATTTTGGATGCCCGGAGCCAACTGTAGGCCACTTCGTGCTCTTCGAGTTCCCAGAACTCCATTCCCGGGCCACATTTTGAATGCCCGGAGCCAACTGTAGGCCACTTCGTGCTCTTCGAGTGCCCAGAACTCCATTCCCGGGCCACATTTTGAATGCCCGGAGCCAACTGTAGGCCACTTCGTGCTCTTCGAGTTCCCAGAACTCCATTCCCGGGCCGCATTTTGATGCTGATGCAGAGGCTGAGAATGGTGATGCTGATGCTGAGGCTGAGGCTGAGGCAGGCAGGCTGAGGCTGATGAGGCTGAGGCAGGCTGAGGCTGAGGCCGAGGCTGAAGGCAGGCTGAGGCAGACGCTGAGGCAGGCTGAGGCTGAGGCAGGCTGAGGCTGAGGCTGAGGCTGAGGCAGGCTGATGCTGAGGCAGGCTGAGGCTGAGGCTGAGGCTGAAGGCAGACTGAGGCTGAGGCAGGCTGAGGCAGACGCTGAGGCAGGCTGATGCTGAGGCAGGCTGAGGCTGAGGCTGAGGCTGAGGCGGATGCAGGCTGATGCTGAGGCAGGTTGAGGCACAGAGGCTGAGGCTGAAGGCAGACTGAGGCTGATGCTGAAGCAGGCTGAGGCTGAGGCTGAGGTCGGCTGAGGCTGAGGCTGAGGCAGGCTGATACTGAGGCAGGCTGAGGCTGTGACTGCGACTGCCGCTGCCACTGCGACTGTCATCGCGAATGCGACTGCGACTGCGAGAACGGCAGAACTCTACAACTGGATTCTCATTTGAATCTTAAGGGGAATGCTTCCATATATGCTTCTACACATCGCTGTTAGGTTGCTTTGCCGGGATAATTGAAGATGTCCCGAGCGAAACGGCCGTTTCAAGGAGGATTTTTTCTGGAGTTTGCGCTCCTGGGCAATCCTCCCGGTACCCCGGCGGGACGGGCCGAAAGCCACTGGGAGAGTTCAAAACCCAGAGGTCTAGCACGCCAGGCACCCCTGCGATGAATCGACAGGGGGCGGCGGATCGAAGACGCCTACGGCGAATCACCGCCGCCCCCTGCCTTTTTGGAAGCGCCTATGTGGCCGAACGTTGAGGCCAGACCTGCCAAGCTATCGGACCACGTGTTCCCCGAATCGGTTTGGAAAGCCTTCGGGGAACACGTGGGCATCTTGAAGGTCATCTTGGCCGTCTTGGAGGCCTCTTGGGCAAGCTTTGGGCGATCTTTGGGGCTTTTTGGGCCGTCTCGGGCCAGCTTCGAGCCAACTTCGGCCATCTTGGTGGGTTCCTGGCACGTCTGAAGCCGTCGGAAGCCGTTTGGGGGGCCTCTATGGGCCGACTTGGGGCCCGCTTGGAATGCTCCAGGGCCGTCTTGGAGGCCATCTTGGGCGTCTGGGAGGCCATCTTGGGCGTGTTGGAGGCCTCTTGGGCCCTCTTGGGGCCCTCTAGGGGCCATCTTGGAGGCCACTTGGGCCATCATGGGGCTCTCTTGGGGGCCTCTTGGGCGATCTTGGGGGCTTCTTGGGCCGTCTTGAGCCGTCGGAGAGCCGAAAAGGCGCAAATGCCAAAATCCTTCAAAAACCAATGGAAAATCAATGATTTTGGCCTCTTCGGACTCTCCTGGAGGACCTCTTGGAGGCCTCTTGGGCCGTCTGGGAGGCCTCTGGGGGGCCTCTTGGGCCGTCTTGGGCCGTCTTGGACTCTCTTGGGCCGTTTTGGAGGCCGTCTTGGACCATCTCGGGCGGACTTGGAGGCCATCTTGGGCCATCTTCGCGATTTTTTGAGGATGTCCCGAGCGAAACGGCCGTTTTTGGGCATTGACAGACGCATTTTGGGAAATGCGGGTGGCCGGCGGGACGGGCCGAAGCCCACTGGGGAGTTCTTTTAGAAAAAGAACCAAAACCAAAACCTGAATCATCCAGCACGCCGTGCACCCCTGCAAGCAGGGGGCGGCGGATCTAGTGGCCTTCGGCCCAAGCCGCCACCGTGCCTGCGCGCGCTGTGGATCACGAACCTCTTGGATCTGATGTTATATGTGAACATTCATCTTCAGCTATACAAGATGTGCAATCACATACTTAACATAAGTACGAAGTAGGGTAGAGAATCAGCTCACGTAGCTGATTTTCCCAGCGCCTCCCGGCGCCGGGAGCCGCCCATGTTTCGAGGAATGGGCCCGGCGGCGGGGCCGAAATCAGCTGCATGCAGCAGATTTCGTAACCCCCCTTTCCCTATCCCCCCCTTTCGTTCGGCCCGACCCTCCTCCGCCCAGGATCACTCTGATCATTGGATACTGGAATTTTCCAGTCGCGACCGACGAGAACGGCCGCTACCGATTTTGCTTCAAATTTTGATATCGGTCGCGACCGCTTTGCTTCAAAATCGGCCGCGACCGATTTGCTTCAAAATCGCTCGCGATCGGTGGCGACCCATCGCGACCGATCTGGGGATCGGTCGCGACCAGTGTCGATCGGTCGCCACCGATCGCGAGCGAAAAAATCGGGTACCCAAGGATCTGGGCAGGACCCCCTTCCCTCATGGCGAGAACCGCACCAGCCCGCCCTCCGCCACCGAGCTTGCGCCAGCGCGGCGCGCCGAGCGCCTGAAGCGGCCGGCCGCGGCACGTTCGGGCGGAGGCGGCGCAGCCGCCGGCGCGGAAGGCCAGGCTCCGCGCGCGGAAGCGCCTGCACGCAGAAAGCACCCCATACACCGCCATGCCTGGCCCCAAGGCCCAGGGTGGTGCACGCGCCTTCCCAGCCGAGGCCGGGAAGGCTGGTACACCATGCCCATGGCCGAGGATGGCCCTGGCGGGGCATGCTGGTGGCGTTCAGGTGCCTTCTGCAGAGCCTGGGGCCATGACCGCCCTGCACCCCAGCGCCTCCGCGGTCAGCCCCAGCCCGGCTGTCGCCCACATGGAGGCCGCAGCGGCGGCTCCGCGTGCGGGGGCGCCTGTGCCCGTGGCGGCCGTCGCGCGGAAGGCCGTGCCGCCGGCGCTGGCACGGAAGGCCGTGGCTCTGGGGCTGGGGGCCGTGGCGCTGGCGCGGAAGGATGAGCTCCGTCCAAGCGTTGCCGCGGGCAGCCCATGCCTGGCTGTCGCCAGCCCGGCGGCCGCCACGGTGACGGCGGCTGCCGCGGCTCTGCGCACCGTGGGCCCCGGGCGTGCGCGCACCGGGGGCGCGCCGGCTTGGCCGCCCATGTGCACGTCGGCCGCGCGTCAGCACGGCAGCGCGCAAGCACGGTCGCGGGCCATGGCTCGTGCGACGCGGTGGACTCAGCCAAATCAACTACAACGGAATGAGGTGATCATGGTGGTGATGGCAATGATGACGATGGTGATGATGGCGATGATGAGGAGGAGGGTCGATCGAGCAGTCGGGCCGAGTCCAGAGCTGTTTCGCAGCGGCTCGAGCGGCAGGTCCTCTAACAACTGATGGGGCCTTGCTGTCGTTATTTTGTGAAGGGCCGCTCGTGCTACACGGTGCTCTGTCCGCCTGCACCCGCCCTTCTTGCGCAAGGGTCTGGGGGAAAAATAAAGCCCGCTTCTTGCGTCTTTGTGTCGGCATCCGTCACTTCGTTGCTCTCCGTTGCGCAGAACCACTTAAACCAGGCATTTGCACGATGTATCCGATCTCGGTTTGTACGCGACGATTGCTTCCTCTAGCTGCCCGTCGAGTCTGGCGTGCAACCTTCAACGCGTGACCACGTGGCCCTCTAACGTGCGTTTCTCCATTGGCTCGTAAACGAGATCAGAGAAGGTCCCTGGCATCGCGTGTTCCGCGGTGCCCTTTGTGCGCAGCGTCGCGTCCTGAGCTGCGTGTCGCTCCTCCTGGTGTGCGAAGCTGTCCTGCTTCTCGTGCGCCGAGCGGGTGCTCCCTGCAGCCTCCTCGTAGTGCCCATTGTCGGGCCCTCGTGTGGGAAGCTTTGCTGCTCTTTTGTGCGCAACGGCGTCCTTGGCGTCCAGCGTCGCCTCCCGGCCTGCGAAGCTCAGCTGCTCCTCGCGCGTCACGCGGGTGCTTCCGGTAGCCTCCTTGTCGTGCCTCACGGCGTCACCGGTGCCCAGCGTCGCGTCCTGCTTCGTGAAGCAGTGCTGCTCCTCGTGCGTCGCAGTGTCCGTGGTGCCCAGATCTGCCGCCCCTCGTGCGCCGCGGTGTCGATTGTGGCCAGCGTCGCCTTCTGGAAGCTCTGCTGCTCCTATAGCGTCGTGAAGGGGGCTTCCGCTGATCTCCTCGTCGGGCTGCGCGTTGCCCTTTCTACGTGGGCTCATCGTCCTTCGTGAAGCCCTGCTGCTCCGCCTGCGCCGGCATGGTGAAGCAGTCCAGCTGGGCCTGCCGAGCGCAATGAAGAAACAGCCTGCGTCGTGCTCGTTCATGTGAGCGCGAAGTCCACGTCACTGCGTGGTGCCACGGCTTTCCAGCGGGCATGCTGTGCAAGGTTATCGGACTGTTGCCATCGAGCCAGGAGGAGCAGTGAGAGAGTCAGTCCACGCTGTTGCCTTGGTCATGCGGTCCGTTATCCCCACCGTCTTCGCATCGCGCGCTCGCCTGGTAGGAGCATTGATCTGCCCTGACAATCTGTTGAGTCCTAGTGACAAACTAGAGAAGAACAACAGGATGAGACGTCCCGCAAAGATCAAATGTCAAATGTCAAGTCCTGTCAGAGTGGCCGAGGGGGGTGGGTGGGCAGGGCGCAGGTAATGCTCTCAATCGTCGAACTTGACCGCTTCTTGGAACGCCCCGCACGAGAATGGATACTGACTTGGACGACGACGGCGGCATGGCGCGGCACCGTGTGGACGTGAAGAACGCAGATTGCAGCACTCCCGGTTGGCTCTGGCTTCGGGCGTCAGATGATCTGCTGGATCTTGTGAGCGATCTCCGCCGTCGAAGAGGGAGGGGGAGGACGAGGAAGGAGAAGAGGAGGAGGGGAGGAGGGATGCGGAAGGGGCTCGAGACAGTGCGGCTCAAACGACTGGTGTTGACGCCCCGCTGAATCTGAAACCGGCTGTGGGCATCGGCAATAAGCCAATAATCAATGCGGTGCCACTCCTCCGTCTCTCATGCACCAAGAAAGGTGGGTTACGCATCCGAAGTCCCGTGGGGAGGCGAAGGGGAGCCTTTGCGAGAAGGGTGCGCGGTGAAATAAATCCAACCACTGTGAGAAGTGTGGGTGGTGAACTCCAGCCATGCGAGAATAGTGTGAGAAGGCGTCTGGGGCGCTGGGGCGAGAAAGCTTATGACATGATGTGATTAATCATAGTGGTAGCGAAACATAATGATGATAATGTCGCTACCAGTAAAAAACAAACATACGTGTAACGAAACAATGAAGGAGTAAGCTTATGTGGGCTTATCTTGGGCTCCTCGGCGCGGAAGGATTCGGACTGCAGATCGCAGCCTCTCGCGGATGGATAAGCAGGGAAGTGGAGGCCAGGAGAGGAAGAGTAACCCCTCAACCAAGATAATAATTCCATGTGGATAATAAGATTCGGGGTCCTGGGAGGATAATAAGCTGATTCCCGGAGATATCGATGTTGGCATGTCTGGATCAATGTTGAAGGACCTCCCAGGTGAGCCTCCCCAGAGGGCCTGCCTGAAAGAGTTGGATGAGCGCGAGTCCTGTCAACCACTATGGTATACTGATACCCTGGCCCCTCTTGGGAGGCCCCCTCCCTGGAGGTGTGGAAGAAGAGCGAAACCAGTGCAATACTATGGTGTGATAGCACCTGGGTCCCTCTTGGGGCAGTCCCTGTAAATGCGCTATGCGTGATATGAAGATCAGGGCTATGATTGGACCTTTGCTGGGAGATTCGAATTCGGCCTTCCCGCCTCCCCGCCTCTGGAGCCACATGCCGCAGATAAGAAACACAGACGACACCAAGGGGGGACTCATCATCATCACGGGGACGCGGTTATCAGGAGCAGAAGGATGAGAAGGAAGGGGGGTTGTGGAAAAGGAAGAGCAGGATGAGGATGGATAGTGAAGAGGGAAAGGAGGATGAGGATCGGTTGTGTTGGCGACTGCGCCCCGAGCTCGGCGCGTGAGCTGGTGCTCCAGCTGCCTCCGAGCGGAAGGCCCAGCCCTCGTTCTCGGAACTCTCGCTGCCACGTGCCGCCGCGCGCTCCCGGGCCACCGCCTCAGCTGGGCTGGCGAGCCCGTGGGGCCGCGCGACGTCCCAGATGTGGAGTCGCCGCACACTGAGCCCTTCTCCTGCTCCTCCTCCTCCTCCTCCTCCTCCTCCTCCTCCTCCTCCTCTTCCTCCTCCTCCTCCTCCTGCCCCTTCGCGCGCGGTGTCACTGCTGGTGTCTGCTGCTCCTTCTCCTCCTCTGCAGCGCAGGGCCACAGCACCGGGCGCCACGCCCGCAGCCTGGCGTCTATGGGGGCCCCGGTCCGCGCGAGCCGCGGTCGGGTGCGAGTGGCAGGTGGCGCGCAGCCGCCGGCGTGCCTCTGCCATTCCAGCGGCGTCGGGGCCGTGGCACAGGACCCAATGCGTAGTCTGCCGCGGCCTTTCCGCGGCACCTGGGCGCTGGCACCGCACTGCGTGCAGAAGAGCACCGCGTCCTCGTCGTCACACGGCCCTGCGAGTATGCTGTGGTCTCTCAGCTTCCATGGCACGGCGGGCACGTCGTGGCCCTCCGCGCTGTCGTCGGCCCAACGGGGTCCGCAGGCCCCCGTTTTCCTTCGTTTTGAAAGGTGCGGAGCGTTTTGCGCAGAATCCTTACTGGATAACTAGGTTCGGAGGCTCTCGTATTTTCAAAAACATGGAAGAATGGACTCTTTGCGTGCCCGCTCGAGGATGGCGCGTCCTGCGCGCAGGAATTTCGAGGACGTCTCGAGCCCCGCGCTTTTTTCGCAGAAGGAATGTTGGCTTTTTGCGTGCCCGCTCGAGGATGGCGCGCCCTGAGTTCCGAATCTCTGAAGATGTCGAACAAGACGCTTGTTTTGCAGTGCTTGGAAGGCCTGGGCGCCCCAGAATGCCCAGCCTCCTCCGCTGCGTTGCCGGGCTGCTGCGAGGGCCAACTGGTGGTCGACGGGCCTCCTTCAGCTCCGTGCCGGTCGCCGTCGTGCTCCGCCTCGTCGCCCCGCGCGATGGCACCGGGCCCGCAGAGTCTCAGTCTTCCATTCCGCCAGCTGCCTCGCGCGGCGCTGGCACGCTGCGGAGAAGAGGCGAGCCTCCTCAGGCTCCCCGTACAGCCAGGCCCCGCGGCGCGCCATGCGGTCTGCGGCAGCGCCGTCAGCTATCCAACTGGCTCGTCGTGGCATTCACCCCAGGGTGTGCCTTGACCTTCGCGATCTGGTCGCCCATCTCGGACCGCCATGTAGTCCAGAGGTGCCGCCGCACGTTGGCCTCGCGCACGGCGCAGGCACGGTCGCGAGCGCATCTCGCCGTGCCCCATGGACCTTTAGAGGGCCCTGCCCAAGTTGGGCCTGCATCTCAAACGCGTAGCCCTCGCCGTCTCGTGTCTCCTGCAGCGGCGCCTGCGCCAGCGGCGCCGCCTCGTGGGCCGCGTCTGTGACCCGGTCGTCGTTGAAGGCCACGACGGACCATCTGGTTCGTCTCGGGGCGCCGACCCCCGCGTCGAAGGCGCCGCCGTCGGCGACGACGTCGCCCAAGAAAATGCCTCTCTCCGAGGCCTCGTGTGCCGCACGAGGTGATGGGCAGCAAGGGCCTCCGATCTTGAATTGCATTGCTGCGTGCAGGGCGCCAGACCTCGTGCGAACAGCTCGCCCGCCGACTCTCCGCGCTCGCGCGCCGCGTTCGCGGCGGCCAGCCGCTCCAGCGGGCAGCGGTCCCTCCTGCGCGCCGCGTGGCCGTCGCAGGCGAAGCTGCGGTGCCAGGGCGTGCCCCGCTCCGCGACGCGCATGGCGCGTAGTTCGCTGACTGCCTTGCCCGCGTCGCAACGGCGGGCCTGCGGCCAGTGGGGGCCCCCGATGGAGCTTCGAAGAGCCCGCTGGTGGCTGATCGTCCACTCGGCGTGGGCCGCCGCCGTCGGCCCGAGGAGCTTGGCCAACGAGGCCCGATCGAGAGGGGTCGCCCGCGTGCCTGCCCCTGTCAGCATGGCCAGCGCTGCCGCGTCGGCCACCTGGCGCGCGTGCCAGCGGGCGATCTCCTGGACCCCTCCTGGAGAGAACTCCCGCATCCGAGTGGCATCTCCTCCCGGGGCCACGAGGGCGTCGAATTTGCGGCATGCCCAGCCCTGCCCTGCGCGGCCCGAGGCGGCAAGCTTTCGCCGGGCATCGGCGGGCATTGGTTCCGCGGCCTCTCGCGCTGGGCGCCCGTGGCCTCCCAGCATGCTTTCGTCGCCTCACTG